TGAGCAAAGGGTAAGCATATTTGTGAAGATTCCTTCAATCTGGACTGAAAGCATCCACCCCAGAGTTGAGGGGTGAGGAACTGGATACCAAAAAGGAAGGAAGCGTGGCACTCCAGTGAGTGGGAAATGTATATATATATATATATATATATGTGGAGTTCCTAGTCGATAACACACCCACAGAAAAACCTGAGGATGAAGGGACCACTTTGTGGGTAGAATCTGGTTTGGGCATGATAAGCAATCAGCCACAAGATTCATAACACTGGGAACATCACACACCAGAACAGTCATGTTGTAGTCATCAGCCTAGTGCAGGAGATCCAGAGTCTGAAAACACAGAGAGCTGGACTTGGTACCCCTTGCTTGATAATATAGCTGATGGCAGTGGAATTGCCAAAATGAACTATAACCACCCACCCCCACAAGGATGGGAGGAAATGATAAAGAGCCTAGTAAACTGCTAAAGGCTCCAATGATGTGGAAATGGAAAGTAGCCACCTTGACTGACCAACCCAAAATCGCTGGGAAATCGAGGAAAGCCCCCAAACCCACCAAGGAATCATCTGTAAACAGATTAGACTCAGGACAAGGTAGAGGAATGAGAACCCCCACCGGGGTCAAGTCTCTGTTGAGCCACCAAGCTAGGTCAGCCCTGATCCCAGGTGAAAAGGAAATGGGATGGTCAAAGGGATCTTGGGGGAAGTTCCACTAGTCGAGAATCATCCAATGAAGGAAATGCATGGGATATCCATGGGAATGAGAGCTTCCAAGGAAGCCCACAACTCCAAAAGAGATAGAATCTCTCATTCAGAGAGAAAAAGAGAAGGTATGGTCTTCATGACCTCCTGCTCCATATCCCAGGAAACAAAGTGGAGAAGGCTGGCCCCAAATGAAATGGTAAGTGAATAGAACCCCCAAATGAATAAGATACTGTGAGGGGGTAGTAAAGAACCTCTCCAACTTCACGAGAAACACCACTTAAGCATCTTCTCGATGAAGTAAGCGAGTGTGAGTGACTGACCTGGCACAAGAAGAGGCAAGCAGAAGCCATCCAGAAGTCCCAGCAAATAAGAATGAGATGCAAAAGAGCATACCACTCGACAAAACACATATGCAGCTGAAGAAAGACCGAACAGCTGCGCCCAGAACTGGAAGACGGATCCCTTGTGGATGAACTGGGGAAAAATGACGTGACATTGGGGCAAAAAACCTACTGAAGTGAGAGGTAGAATTCCATAGTGAAGCAAAGCAAGGTGTCTCTAGATAAGAATACAATCGGGAAAGATCTATGATGGGACTCCAATCTTCTGTGTTTTTGTAGACAACAAATAGACAGGAGTAAAATCACGACTGAGTGGGCACCACATTTGATAGCTCCTCTGTGTAGTAGGTCTCACACAGATTCGGCAAGATGACTGGACAAGGTACAATCCTGAGGAAGAGGAAAGGAGATCTGGAAAATGGATAGAGAGGAAGCAAAATGGAAGGTATAAATCCACAGACACAACCAGTAGAAACCACAGAACTATCGTGAAGTGTAGCTAAGAAAGACACATAAACTAAACATACTTAGAGAAAGTATTTATTACTTTCGAACTAACAAAACGTGGAAACATTTAAAGTCTACAAAGGACATAGAAATAAACCTGCAAAACCATGAAATTCGACCTAAAACAGAAAACAATAAGTAACACCTAAAGTACAAAACCGCAAAAAAAACATAGAAGATAAACGACCCTTAAACATCGAACATGTAAATCTACTCAAAGACAAAGAATGGGAAAATAAGCCCTACCCTAAAGAACTTGAGAAGAAAAAGGTACCCAGTTAACAATAACAAAGTTTAACTCAAATATAATCCTCAATTAGATGTGACTAGTAGGGAAAAAAAAGGAACTTACAAACAAAATAACATTAACAGTGAAAAGAAATAAAAGTGCAAACAAAACAAAGGAATAATCAAACTCCAAATGCAAGTTTAAATTAAATTAGCCTAGATGGTAAAAGAATTATAAAAATCTAACTCATCCAAACAGAGCAGAATTATCGAGTGCCGAAATTAGGTCCATCTACACAAGTTCACATAAAGTCACTGAACATGGGTATACCTATGGGGAGTGAGAAATACACACTGAAAAACTAACCACAGATCTCCTGGGGAAAGGAACAATACCTAACCCAGAAGATTGTGTGGAGGCGCAGTAACAGGTGGAAAGTGCCATAGAGAGACAATTTGCACACAATATTTATATATCCCTCTTCACAAAAATCGTAACGTGAAAGGAAAAAATCGTTAGCCGAATATAAGACATGAGCTCCCAGTGAACTACAGCCTCTGCTTCCCCAGCAGACATCATCGAACCTAAGACCTGAGGAGTAGTACTCTACTTATAGTGGGAAATTAATCATTTTTGAGGTCGGCGTGACGTCACAATCATGCGACTTTGTCTGGTAACATGATCGCCATCTTGTTAAAGGAGCAAACAATAGTGAAGTGAGTACAGCTGTATGTACGCAATTTATGTAGGTCTACAATATGTACTGCTGAAACTGGTGAGCATATTATTGTTTGATAGTCAAATTATCAATTGCAATGTCTTGTCAATACATGGAGAAGTTGTCAGCCGAGGCATTAGCAAGATATCAAGAAAAGTTACAATTAATTGGGCTTGATTCTTGTCCCTACAGCACCCTGCTGACTCGTGGATTAACAACCCAATAGAATGTCCCAGTGTGCAGTACCCAGATGTGTACAATTACTTTGTGTTTAAAAAATCGGAAAATAACATTTACATGGTATCAAATGACCTGAACACACATGGTTATAGTCAGACTTTGGCTCCCACAGCTTTCCTATTGCTTCATGTATTCCGCGATGTTTTCCACAACACTTTTCTCTCCTTTTCAGTAGCTTGTTCTTGTGGGAAAACATGCACTAAAAAGTAAATTACCAGGTCGAACTAGTTTTTAAAACAATTATCGACAAATTGTCTTAAGATTATTCTAGGCTAGGAATAGAATCCCACAAATGTTTGCTTTATGCTTACTATTAAGACGAGATGGAGGACTGGGTATCAAATAGAAGAAAAGTTCAGATATTGGTGCAATTGAATATGCAACAACTCTTCACCATACTTACAGGTTTGGAACAATAAAGGTTCATCACAAACACAAATAGTTGTTACAAATACGAGTCTAGACAGCGGGCGATAGTACAGAATGAACAAAATGTCCCCTATTTGTTTGCCCCTTCGTCTCAGTTGCTATGTAAACATTGCATTGTGGGAGGGTAAAGTTCCCTGATGTCTGACATCAAGAATCCGCCATATTAATCTCAAATTCATATGAACAAAGTAGAATTCTGAAACAAAAACATTTTTAAAACAAACGAGTAGAAATCAAATATAAAAAGTCGAAAGTTAACATTTTCCTAAATTGAAATGTATTTCCAATAATACTTACCTCCTTTCACACTTATAGCTATTACTCTACTGCCAGGGTTTCTTCTTTTGCCCATCTAAGTATTGGTGTGATTTTTTTCGCTTCGTCCAGTCTTTTATACCCCACTCAATTTCCCTTGGCAATATTTATCTCGTGATACTTTCCATCTACGTCAATGTGCTCTCTATCCTGGTACTATATATATAGTATTGTTACGTCTCCGTTGGCTAGTTAATTTTCCGTAAATTCGTTCAATGCAACTTTAGTGACACAAGTCCTTTCATAATAAAACTGGTTTATTTTTTCCGATACACTTAATTTCAACAGTCCCGCTATAACAAACGCTTCAACAATACTCTCTGACTGCAGTTCAATTACTCACTACCTACACATTGTCCCGTCATGTTGTGACCATCTTATATATACCAGGCTACCCCCAATCTAGTAAATGCTAGGGTATTCACGAAGGGACAGGATATTTCTAGAAAACATCGCGTGACTCTAGTCACGTGACCTCGCTGACGCAACAGTATTATCCTTCAGATAATGTTAACACTTTTTCGAAACTGACTTAATCCCAGTCTCTAACACTGGCTCTTAGTGAGGAGGAAGGGCAGGAGAGTGTGATATGAGGTAAGTATTATTGGAAATACATTTTCGATTCAGAAAAATGTTAACTTCCAAAACATACATACCTCTTCTCTCACTTATAGCTAGAATCTCACATTGATAAGGTGGAGGGGCTAGTGAGGGCATTATCCATACAGAAAGTGTCTGCATAGATCATGGGTGTGTCAGTAGAAGATTGTTACCCTCGTGGGGGAACTGCACTGCATCCAGAACAGGTATGCTCTTCACCCAGAACTGAATTATTGTATCGTGGGTGGAATTGTACATGAGTGATCATCATTATAGGCCAATACCAACCAGACAGCCGAGGTACCACTATTCATTGTTGGAATTAAGGGGTCTTGGTCCCTATATTTCACGTTGGTGGCTAGAGCAATTAGACCACAACATTAAAGATATATATACTTATGTGTGGATCCCAACGGCAGCCAAAGAGTGATGCATTCCAAGCCATCAGAATCACGACGAGAAAGTAAGCAACATTGAAGAGGACAAATCTTCTCCTCAACCTAAAGACGTCTGAAAGGCAGCACCCCAGGCTTGAAATGAAACAGAACTCATCCAGTTTGGAATTATGAACATTCATCCTCACTCCACAATTGTGTGGGCAAGCTACATTCCACTTGCCCCCAGAATTATGGGGAGGATGTGGAACAACTGAGCTCAACCCAGAACCCAGTAATTACGAGGAGATAGTAGACCTCCTTCCATAATAATCTGTAAATTCATACCATAAACTGGTTTGCCAATTGGAAGAAGATTTTTTTTTTAATTAGTATAATGATTGTTACGAAAATCAACTATATAACCCAATAACATTCAAAGTATCTTTGAACGATCATAATACTGGGAATCCATTAGTGATGCTTTATCAGGAAAAAGTGATAACATTATCTGAATGAGGTGCTTATATACAGTACCAGGATAGAGGCTACACTGACATGGGTGGAGAGTATCACGAGATAAATATCACCAACGGCAAATGATTGGGGTATAAAAGACTGGAGCAAGTGAGAATATATTAAACCAGACTGCCGAGCTACACACCTCAAGAATACCTACACAGCATTACCAAGTTACCAACAATCAAAGATCGCTTTACACAACTTGCCACGAAATTTTACAGAATAGCCAAAAATAGGAACACACAGACCAAACAGTTCAAACAATTAGCTCTAACACCAGAAACTTGGAACACATACACATCACCATTCAATTACATAAACAGCCTAGAAAACACATAAAACACTCACCAAGTAACTGAAAGAAATTTCTTTTTCAGCTTTGGGCACTGGTCAGGTAGATTATTTGGCGCCTGACCATTGAAAGTGGGTTTTCTCGTGGTACTCCCGTTTCCCCCACAGCAAAATTCTGAGAATTGGACCACGGTCCTACTCCCAGCCCTGAAAAGGACCGACAGATGGCCTCCTCCCCTACCCAAAATTTTTAGCCCTGGTGCTTTATCCCATCCGACGCATCCTCGAAGGCACTGCTGCCTGATTTTCTAAGCTTAACCCGGTCAAACCAAATCCAGGACAAACTATAATACTCACGAATATGTACATCCCTCACCAA